GACCAGATTTATTCTTTGTCTTGTACAGCTTCCCTTCTTCTCTTCGAAGCTTTTTGAGATGAGGGGAAGAAAAACGATCCATTCTTTTGAAAATTACCTGTTTTGGACAGCATATATCAAGGTAGAATTTAAGATACTCAGTCAAATTGGAAATAGTATCATCCAGTGTGTGTTCGTTGAAAAGTTGCCAGTTAGTGTCATTTAGCATACATCTTAGTTTGAGCATGTTTTCCTGTGAGTAACACCTTTGCTGTGTTTTCCTGGACAGATTTGAGAAGATATTAAGGTGAGATCTGCCGTATATCTTAGGTAATATCCGAATAATACAATGATCCGAGTTCATTATAGGAGCACGTCTGCGTACTTCATATATTTCCTCATCATTAGTAAACACTAGATCCAGAGTTTTATCAAGTCAAGTAGGGAATCTAACAATGCTGACATGACCTTATGAAAGAGCAATCACAGTAATTGAAATCTCTAGCGACAACTGATAAAGAGTTTTCAAGATGTGTAACGGCGAATTCAGTGAATTCATCAGCAAAATCAGGTAGATCGGAGGCAGAACAGCCAGGAGTAATGTTTGAGATGAAGACATATTTAAACTTGGATAAGTGTTTCGGACGGCATTTGACTGTTATACAATCAATAAAGTCACTAGAGAAAGAAACACATACATTATTTGAAGTTGACCATTGAGAATGAGTGAAAGTTGCAACACCTCCACCTCTTTTCTTTCTGGAGTACAGTCGATCTTTTCTAAACAATGTAAAACCATTTAGGGAAACTAAACTGTCATCATAGAGATCATGGAGCCATGTTTCTTGCAATGCAACAATCGCCGTATTGTGATAAGTATCAGATGATAAGAGAGACTGGAGATGTATAATTTGGTTAATAAGTGAACGTCAGTTTGAACTGACAATGACAGGAACAGTTGTGTGGCATAAAGGTGTCTGTTTAAGTGCACGCTGACAGCCACCGTGATGTTTCATTGATATAAGAATAAAACTTGTGCACTGTGGTAGAGTGTTCAAGGTGATATGATTATGAGCAATAAATTGTGCTCGAAACGTCATCAGTAAACATTACTGTATAACGCTGTGAGACTTTATCAAAACAAAATTTACCCATAATGGAATTACCGTGATGTTTCCTCTTACTTTTATTAGATGCATGCAAGTCATGTAGTTTGAAACGTTTAATGAATGACTTACTGTATTTTAAGCGATTTGTGATCATACTTCATTAAAATTAAGAATGAAAACAGTACTTATTAGATGAAGTATGTAGATGCAAGAAAAGGTAGCCCGGGTGTCAAACAGGCCGCCTTGTTTAAACTGGTTCAAGAATTTTACCAGACTCTAAAATTTTCTTAGCCAGGTCAACAGACACAAATTTGCAGAGTACAGGACATGGGTGGTCTGCAGATTTCTTACGAAGACGCAGAACCTGGAAGTCAGATGGTGAAATGTTTCACGCCTGTAGACAAATTGCTTTAAGTTTGACTATAGGGATATTGTCTAGTTTGTTATATCTTAAGATATTATATGAGGACATAACCCTCTTTACAGCCTCAGAAGTCAAAAAGTCTGGCAGGCGCTCAGATTTGAGAAGTGAATCTAAGCGAATTTCTTGTGATGGATCAGAAGGTTGGATGAAAGGAGTGATACTTTCGAATTTATCCTGCATGTCTTTTATGGGTTTCTGAAGAATCTGCAAATCAATAGTTGTCAGTGTAGTTGGAGATTGGAGGATCAATTCATGGTCACTGCTCAAACCCAACTCCTCCATATCATTCGCGGGAGTCATCAATGCGGCAGTCATCGTCCCGTCGTTAACTGTTCAGAGGAAGATAAAAACTATCAGAAGTATTATTGTGATTTATTGTTATAACATTTATTCTTAGACCTTGTGTAATCATTTTATTGTTGATTACATGTTGGCGTAAGAATAAAGGATTCTTGAGTCGCTAATCAATGGGATATAAACACAGGTCCTCCGTCACTAACTGAGGTTACTAAAGCTGTCACCAATCTGAAACTAGGCAAAGCAGCGGGACCTGATGAAATCACTCCAGAGGTATTTAAGTACGGTGGAGACAGCTTACTGTCCGGATTAACTGAGGTACCAGGCAGCGTCTGGGAATCAGAAGAGGTCCCATCGGGTTGGTGTAAGTCACTGATTATCCCCATATACAAGAAGGGAGACAAGTCTTCCTGTGATAATCACAGAGGGATTAGCTTGACTAATATGGTATCTAAAGTCTTAGGCTCAATAATCATGCGTAGACTGAGTGGTGCTCGGGAAGCACAAACACGAGAGAGCCAGGCAGGCTTTAGACCAGGAAGAGGGTGTATTGATCATATCTTCACCCTCCGACAGATTCTAGAACATAGGCATTCCTACCGGCGTCCAACAGTCATTATATTTCTTGACCTAAAGGCAGCATTCGACTCTGTCGATCGGGAAGTTCTCTGGAGATGCTCGGCTGTAAAAGGAATTCCAAGAAAATATATTGCACTGATTAAGGCACTCTACTCGTACTCACACAGCCAGGTGAGGGCTTACGGCGAGCTGTCATCTGAACTGATGACGACCAGTGGTGTCCGTCAAGGATGCCCATTATCTCCTTTTCTATTCAACTTCATCATAGATGTGTTAATGGACTTAACCCTGGGTGACTTCAGTGACTCAGGGATTGACTTGCTACCGGGGAATAATCTCGTTGACTTGGAATATGCAGACGATATAGTCCTTCTAGGCGAAGACGCTGACGAAATGCAGAGTCTTCTAAACACCTTGAGCTACAATCTACGAATGTTTGGCATGCGATTCGCTCCCGCCAAATGCAAGATGATGTTACAGGACTGGACTTTATCGGCGCCTAGTTTAAAAATAGGAAGTGAAGTGGTAGAGCACGTTGACCGCTTCACTTATTTGGGAAGTACCATCGGCCAATGCCAACGGGCTGATCTCTGACGAAATCTCAGCACGAATACAAGGGGCTCGTTTCGCATTTTTCAGTTTACGCCGACTCTGGCGTAGACGAGATGTTCGACTATCGACCAAAGGGCGGGTGTACTGCTCATCAGTCCGCTCCGTCCTCCTTTATGGCTGTGAGACCTGGCCACTGAGAGTGGAAGACATGAAAAGACTAGCTGTCTTTGATCATAGGTGCCTGCGTTCTATTTCCCGTGTAAAGTGGCATAATAAGGTGAGCAACATGGAGGTTAGGCGTAGAGTTCTAGGTAAACAGGGGAAATCAATCGACGAAGTCGTGAAGCTACAAAGACTGAGATGGTTAGGACATGTGTTACGTATGCCAAGCCATCGCCTCCCTCGACGAGCAATGTTAGCGGATATAGGGTCAGGCTGGAAAAAAGCTAGCGGCGGTCAAACAAAAACTTGGCATCAGTCAATGAAATCCACAACAGTTGGTCTAAGCCACGTAGAAAGGTGTAGACTTCCAGGCTGGGGTCCTCGGGACGGTAAAAATCTATGGTTGGAAACAATTGGTGACATGGCTCAAAATCGTTCTCAGTGGCGCAGATGCATCCACTCCCTGTGACTTATGATCTTCAATGAAACTGTTTTGTATTTCTTTATTACTCCTTTGTCTCACACCTCTGCTCACTGTTTCTATTATGCTTTTCTTGTACTTTCTTCTCTTGCTTCGCGTGCTACACGGAATGTGGCGACTTGAACTTCCGCACATTTGTGCAAAGTTCTATGTCGAAAACAGACAGACAGTTCTGGTTCTCGCATTGGTTAATACAATGTGTTTCTGAAAGTCTTCAAGGGACAGCGTGGGGTCCAGCGTAGTAAGAGCTGGACATTGACAGTTTGTGAGACTCGGCTGACACTTTTTTTGTACGTACAATCAATTTCTACAGCTCATTATGTAAATCTATCTGGTGGTAAGTCGCAAAACACTCGTTAGAGAATTTGGGACGTAGTCGTCAGCTCTTGACTGTATTCAACTAACTGAGTGACCTCATTGAGACTCGACATTTTCTAAAACGTGATACAGATTATATTCATCATCGTCAAGTTATAATAATCATTCATTAAAATAAATTAGGCTTTTATATGATTAACACGAATAATCATGCATGACTTCAGTTTTAACAAAATGAGTTATCATGGTTTACAACTCTTTTAAAAAGTGAAGCACATCAATTGCACGAAAAATATTATGAAAATTGCTCACGTACGATATCACTAACTGTTATTAATCCTCCATTCGAATAATACCACAAGCACACATTCAAAAATGCTTTGTTAGTGGTTTGAAGGACAAAAATATCAGTAATGCATACACAATACAGAAGTTCAATAAAACAGTCCCATTACATCACATTATCTCTGATTCTTGTGAAATACTAAGGAGATGCATGATTCTGTGTAGACGCTCATATACGAGGGTGAATTGCAGGCTAGTCTCAACAACAAGAGTTAATACGTGTTGGTGAATGGCGTGCTCTCTAAAGTATTTTTACATTTTAAACCAGTCAGTAGCAGCGTCTCGTGGCACGAACTCGGTACAACGCCGGCATGAGACTGCGAAAGCCGTACATGAATTATATTCATGGTTATTTATTTTGGAGGCAATAGAATTGTTAGTGAAAGTTCTTAAGTGATTTGTTGCTAATGACTGCCACCTTCAGCTTCGTCTGTTTACAAAATATGGTGTTCTCATCCTTCCTTTTTGCAGATTATGTTAAGATTTTAGAGTCATGCATGACAACAAACACATGACACTTCAAACAGACTTATATATGTTGACTAAATGCTCCGGATTCTCTATGTCAGTAATTTACCTTGACCAATGGTTTCGCTTTCTTTATTCAGTGGATAAGTGAGTACTGACCTATGCTAGAAAACCGTATTATCCAGAAATCGTAGGATACCAAAAGCTGAAAACACTCGTACATTGCGATTAGGCTACAACCAACCCACTGGCCACTCAGTTTTAAAATGTTTTTATGTGGGTGTATTTATGATTCTAGATATAATCTTTATTACAGACCATCTTGTCAATTCAATGCAGAAAAAGAATCTGGCGAAGTTAAAGTAACCAGGTCTTTTCAAAAGTTGACCTTCACGGACAGGTCGGATGAGTGGACTGCCAAGATAGGTCATTCGAAATCTAGTTTTCCATCCTCTTTTGTACCTATTGAAGGTAAATGGAGTATTCCACTTATTCCTTGCGTACGCTTTTGTAAATCTATACTGTTAGGTAGACTCATGACTTAAAATTAAGGTCTATAGACCTAAACACTATAGTGTTAATCCTAATTAGGATTAGGGTGAGATTTAGTAGTGGCCCAGTCGAAGAATGGTCCAGGGCAATGTGGCCAAAACATGGGCTAAGTGGGTAGTTTTGATGAGCGAATAGGTGGGCAAAAGATGGTGTAAATGCTACATAATTTGCCCACTTTACCCATATTGGCCACTTTTTCATCGTTTGCCCATGTCCCGGAAAATTAAATTTAACCGCTTATTGCCACTTCACCCATGTTACAACCTAAAACAGACCACCTTTTCCCACTTTGCCAAAATTTGAGAGGAAAAGTGCCCACGTTTTTACTCACATATACTAGGTCCAAAAAAATTAACCGACTGGGGGGTTATTTTGATCAGCAAAGATATCAGCAAAAGCTGGTTAAAACGCTACAAATTTACCCACTTTGCCCATACTGAACATTTTCCCCCTTTGTCCATGTCCCGAAAGATTGTATCGTCCTACTTTTCCCCAGTTTTTCCACACTACCCACGTATTCACCCATTTGTCTCATGGAATTTTCTAAATTTGCCCACTTTATCCATGTTACAACCGAAAACAGCCCCCCTTTGCTTAATTTCTAACGGAAAATTGCCTACTTTTTAACCCACATGTCCCAAATCCGAAAAAATCTCCGACTTCGGGGTTAAATTATATTTTCCGAAATATCAATAATTCTCTAAGTATCATGACCTCGATTTTTCTCCTCTATGAAGAGTGACTCGGTCTAAAATGTAAATACTGATTCAACAAACCTACACCATAAGTTTCCAAAATGCTGTTGACTTTTTTTTTCTACAGGAATAAGTGCACACAACTTGCAACCCGATCAAATGTCTGAATCAGAAGACTCAGACACAAGTGGTCTGCCTCTACAAGCATTCCCAGTTTCAGACTTTGATGAAAATGACCCGCCTACCAGTGAAAAAGCTCTTTCATCAGCTGAAGAATATTTAAAATTTGTGCGGTAAGTATGCTTTTTTGGCCAATCATAATGCTACTCACAGACACCAGGCTGCTTCATTTCCAAATGTCATGTACTGCCGACAACTGTCTGTAAATAGTGTAGGCAACAACAGAAGTGAATCTGGAGTTTTTCCTACTGACTTAAGTGATCATAAAACACAGAAGACTAACAAGTTTAATTCCACAAGAATTCTACTAGAAAACCAAATAATCTATTTCCACAAAGCTGTTAATGTAATCCAGTGTCCTATTTAAACTAATTCTCTCACAGGAGTACCAGTGCCTGAAATCATTAGTGTTGCAAAACATCCACGAATCAGTGAGTACTTTAATATCATATTCTGCTTAATTAATGAAGTATTCATTTAAGTTGATCTAAATCATCTCTTTGCACAGACTTTCGTTTTTACTAGCTAGCACAAATAAGATTCAGTGATGTGAAAAAGAAAAGATGAAAGTAGTAATTTTATGCATCGAGCTCGCTTAATAAGCTTGGCCAACATAGTGAACATGTTTTACACATATATTAATAGTGAACCCGACTTTTTAAAAATATGATGAACTCAGTTAACTTCATACTGTTTTCGCGTGTATATACAATATATATACAACTGTAGCTCATCCCTTGGCGTCCAAGGTGTTCCAAGTTTGTTTCAAATGAAATATACAACCTGAACAATCTAACAGTAAGGTAACTACTGTAACATGATTTTCTTGCTTTAAATAAGTGATCATTCCATTTTAAAAGAGTAAAACATCAAAAAAACAAACACGGTGTTCACAATATGCTGGAAGTTAAAACACTACAATTATACCCAAGCTATAATGTGAAGACGCATATTCTCAACTTTGGAGACGAAATCATCCATTAGTAGAATTGTTTACTCAGTCATGGGAAAGAAGGGATATTCCAACACTCAACTGTAGAAACGGTGGTAAAGGCTTTTGATAACTTTTAAACCAAAGGTTAGTAAATACCACTGGATTTATGTTGCTTCATCCGAACTCATACGCAAGAAGACTGATTCCGGTGGTCTCCGAACATGATGAGTAGCAGAAACTACTCAAAGGCAAGCTGACCAAAGTTTTCCGCAACGACTGCAAACAGTGATGAAAGACAAAAGCAAAAGAGTGAGAAGGCACCGGCTATTTGTCACACCAGATTATCATTTAGGCTTATTAGAAAAATAGATTGCAAAAGACAAATGATAAGTTAGACTCACTGAAAATATCGGCGCCTTAGTTAACTCCCAGGATATAAGGCTAAAACGTTTGAAGGAACACGGAAGAACAATTTAACTGGCCTACAGCCATGTACAATTTACATAGCACCCAACGCCTGCCAGAATAGGATATCGGCATCGACTGTCTCTAATCTGAAATGAGGCAAAGCAATGCAGCTTGATAAAATGAGTTGCGTTGTTAGGTAATGTTTGGGAATTAAAGATAGTTCAGTGTCCCCCTTTATAGCTGTGAGATATGGCCGTTGGAAGTGGAAGATATGAAAAAAACTAGCTGTCCTTTACCACGCATGTTTGCGTTGTGTTACAATATATTGAGTAATATTTAGGTTACGCATAATGTTAGGTTAAGAAGGGAAGACAATCGATGAGGGTATAAAGCTACAAAGATTAAGATGGCGAGGACGGCTGTTATGCTTGGCAAGTCACCGCCTTTCTTGACAAGCACTGTCATATGGTTGGGTCGGAGAAGAGTTAAGAATGGGCAAACCAAAAACCGGCATTTGTCCACGAATTCTTTGACATTTGCTCTGAGTAACACGGAAGTATAAACTGTCTGGTTGGGGTTCTCCGAATGCTGAAAACTAATGGCTGGAGACTATTATTGATATGGCTGACAATCATTTTCATTGGCGCAGATATATTTACTTTGTGATCTCCCAAATCCACTAATCCTTTATGTTTTCCAATTTTACTATTCTTTCTCCAGTACATATCTGTTCATTGTGGATACTTATATCTCTTTTCCCTACCTTCGAGTACTAAACGGATTTTCGCAACTTGAACTGCTGCGCGTGTGTTCCAAGCTCTGTGTCAAAATTCAGTCAGTCAATACACTAATTAATGTGAAATCGTCAGCATAATTGTCACCATTCTAGTCTTTGTGTTCGTTTATCATGACTGCTATTGTGTTATTCATCTCACTGGAACTTTTAGTTGTAATCATCATATTAAACCACATGGACTGGTTCGTGCATAGAACTAAGTCGGCTATAGAATCATTAATATTACTGTGTGATGGAGAACACGGAGATTTGTGGTATAGACTTGTTCATTTGGTGACATTACATGTAGTAGTGGTGAAATATAACCTTGCATTGAAACTTCGGTCTGCCCAAATTATTTATGTCCTGCTTCTTACTGCATTTCTCTTTTTCTTCTTTCACTCCACTTCATGCTTTCCATAATGACTCACAATTTTCCTCATTTTTCTGTCGCTCATCTGTTCTTGGTATTTTTCAGATGTCATTTCATGCATTACCTACAAACTCTAATCAGTGACAAATGCTACAATAAACCTACAAACCTTTTAGTCTCCTAATATGGATTTGACTGGATATGTTCATTTACTTTCGTATATAACTACTGTCAGTCTTCAGGTTGGCTGTGTTCTATTGTTTTTGATGATTTCATTAAGTTGCATCGCTTTCCTCTGTCGTCGCTGTGCTATAGCACATTATCCCTAGACTTCTCCAGAGCTTATCTCTCTTATTGAGCGTATTATTAAATTAATTATTCCGTTATGTAATTATACAATACTATAGTATGCCAGTATTATGGTATTTTTGACTGTCTTACTGGAACACAAATGTTCCATCAGCAAACAATTTGAGTGATACCACCCAGGTCTCCGGAAACCAATTTTTAATATCTGAACCACCCACTACCTTTACACTTCTCGAGTAAACTAAAATTTAATTTGTGTTCTCTAAGCTGGCTGATTTTATTGCGGAGCTTTCGCTGCCCTTCCAGACAAAATCTTCAGCGCAAGTTAAGTATGAAATGAACTTATTTGAATTCTCCATGAATGACAGAATTATATGTCTTGGCGACCATTGTGGTGATTGGTTAACTTTTATTTGTTGTTTTTATTGTTTTGAAGTTTGTTTTTATTGACTTGGAGTTTGAACTTTCTTGTCGTGTAATTTGCTTTTTATTAGTTGGTAAATTTGGTCTATAGTAACGTGTCTGTGAAGCGCCTGAAACCCGATTTATGTGTTCAGAAAGAAGCAATTAAGGTTTAGGCACCCTATATATGTATCCTTGATCTTCACAACATACATGGTTCATATACTTTGTTTGAGAAGCATTATATGACCATACAGCTGTGTTACAATACTCGCATTAGTTACTGTTGTCTCGTAAAGTGTTTATAAACTATTTTGGTTTTTTTTAAATAATTTAATCTTCATAGGCTAAGACTTCTGCTCGAATAAGCAAAGAAACAGTACTTAAGCAATCTCCCTCTTTAATCTGGATCGCTCAAAGAAGCAGAGTAAGAGTTCGTTTCTTACTTTTATAATTTTCTGTTTTATCTCTAGTCAGAAATCATAGGATTGTTTGATATTGTATCATCAATATCTACTAAAAAGCATTGGAATTCAAAAATGGTAAGTATTTCTAATTAATTTTGCATATATGTTAATCTCCTTGTAAAAAAATGATTGTCGTGTTTAACTTTCACTTAGTAGTTGTTTGCCCATGAGTTTAAACTTTTGTCTTCCACTGTTTATCTGACAGATTAGTATGGTTAATTTTTTTTAACAAACTGTAGAAAAATGATTTGCACTAATTGTTTAGTCGTGGCGTTGTTTGTGAAAGAATTATCATCCGACTAAATATTTGTTCAAATGGGTTAACCATTTATTCTCTCCAATCGTCACTAACGACAAAGAACATTGACCTAAGTGAATAACCAAACAAATAACATCTAGATAACCGCATTTTTCGGAAAATTCCTCTTTCGGGAACGTCAAAACAGTTTATTTAAGAATTCATTCTTGCGTTAGATTGAATTGTAGTCCGGAAAGTGTAGAAATATATCACGGTATTTTTTAAGACAATCGCTTGCCAAATCAAATCATGTTTAATCGCATGAATTTATCCTTATAGAGATGTATATCATGTCATTTTAAGATCCACTTATGGCTCTGATTGCTTTTTAACTGTTTAACAAATCGTAGTAAATTCGTTTGAATACTTGTTAAAGGATTTACAAAACGTGGAGTGCAGTCTTTGATTGCTTCAGTGGCCTGCTATAAATTCGTAATGCGTCTGGACAGAGTAAGATTTATAAGGTCTTAGCTAGTGTTTTTAGAACAAAATACAGTGAACATTGATAAAATCGTAAATCTTACATTAATGTCTCAATCTCTAAATAATATTATTCATGTTCGTTATTATTTGTTTATTAAACTCTTATCGTTATCACCTAGCGTTTCTTCTCCAGTAACTTCTTTGCAAACGCACAAATTATCATTGAATCAATGAAGATGTTACTGGATAAACTATTTATGTATGTTTACAAATAACGCACACTACACTTCCACAAGCCCAACTAAACCATTGTCAGTATGAATCTCGAAAACTGTGCATAGATGGTACTGTAACCCTAATTTCCAATTTCATTGGTCACTAGTATTCTCATCTGTTAGCAACACTGATATTATGACCGGTTGTTTAAAGTTAACTTGACTAATGATTTGCTTGAGTACCTCTCATATTTAGTCAATATAAACACAACTGTACAACCTCGAAAGAGGATTTCATCGATAAGGAAAATTTCCTTCGCTTAGGCATCTTCTAAGTGTTCCTTTGCAGGGATTTGACTGGTTACAGGTTTGATCACGAGCTTGAATACTATTTAGCCACTGGGTATTGATCTAATGGCCCATGAATTCCAACTTCTATCATTTCGCGATATACATATATATATATATATATATATATATATACATGAGGCACCACAGCCAGTCACGACTTCCCACTAGAACTTCAGGTAACTGCCTGTATAAACCAGTCTCTAGTGTGCATCAGATTAATTATCAAGTGTTGGTTTGCCAGGGATTTGGTCGTGTAAAGGCTTGATCACGAGTCGGCAATAACTCTATGGGTATTGAAATAACTGTAGGAAACAACGATACGCTCTCATCAAATTGACGCGAAATTATTGATTACCGGAAAATTTCTACTGGGGGAAATGCGACTAGAGTTACTAACCATAAATCACACCGTTATGTATGAATGAAACTGCTGAACCTTTGCTAAGCGCAATAGAAGTCGACCTGATGATTAGACCATTGATTGTCAAAGTCATGGCTTACGTATCAGTGATGAAATGGGAGACATGGAAAACTAATGAAAGGAAGAAATACCAGATATTTACATGAAACGAAACGGGGTTACGTAATCGAAAAAGATAAATCTAAAACAGATCACTTAAAACAATGTTAATTTTTTTTTCAAATTCCTAAATGTGGGAGTATTGTTATCATAGGTTTCAGTTACTGTGTATGAATTAAGTATATATGTATGTATTTCTATGAGTAAAATGGATTTATTACATATCATGTATTTTGGGAAAAAGGGATTTTTGGAATTATCTACTTTCGGTGGTATCCCGGTAACTACTTGATTTCACTTCTCATGATGCTAATTATCAAGTATAGCATGAGGCACTCACACTACTTTGTATGCTGATGGTTTGTATTGTCTCACTAAAGGTATAAATGAACCATATGAGCACTAACCTCGCCAGATACTAGCTTACTAGTTTTCTCGCCGGTCCCAAGCCCGGGTAAAGAGGGAGGGTTGGGGCGTGGTGCTAGCAACTCCACCCCTGTAAAACAACCAAATCGCTACAGAAACTTCAACGAATAAATATATTAAAAATTCTAAAAACATAAGCAATAGCCTTACTTTTCGCTGGAATCGGGGAAGTGAAATGACGCAGGCTGGTGAAAGCCTTCGGGAAGCCAGTCAGCCGATGTGCCTTCTTTCGATGAAAGCAAAAGTAAGGATGGGTACCTGGAATGTTCGTACAATGTACGAAACTGGAAAGGCTGCCCAGATAGCCGCTGAAATGAGAAGGTACAGAATAGAAGTGTTGGGAATCTGCGAGAGCAGATGGAACGGAACTGGAAGGTGCCAACTACCTACTGGAGAGACAGTAATCTATTCCGGCCACCTAGAGGACAACCATGAGCACACCGAGGGAGTGGCCATCATGATGTCACCAACAGCAACCAAAGCTCTCATGCAGTGGGAACCAATCTCCTCCAGGATAATGACAGCCAGGTTCAACTCAAAAGGAAGGAAAGTTACAGTCATTCAATGTTATGCGCCTACAAACGTCTCAGAACAAGAGAAGAAGGAGGCGTTCTACAGACAACTACAAGCAATAATGGACAACGTCCCAAATGGCGATATCAAAATCCTGATGGGCGACATGAATGCGAAGCTGGGAGGAGACAACACAGGAAGAGAACTCACCATGGGTCGTGAGGCCCTCGGCGAAATGAACGACAATGGTGAACTCTTCTCAGACTTCTGCGCCTTCAATGATTTGGTGATTGGTGGTAGTGTGTTCAAACACAAGGATATACACAAGACGACATGGATTTCACCAGATGGAAACACCAAGAACCAAATAGACTTCATCTCAATTTCAAGAAAGTGGAGACGGAGCCTACTGGACACAAGGTCAAGGAGAGGAGCAGATGTGGGTTCAGACCACTATCTAGTACAAGGGACTTTCAAGGTGAAACTAAAAGCCTCGAGGATAGCTGGGGATAGGCCACAATGCAAGTTCAACACTCAATAACTGAAGGACACAACCACAAAAGACACTTCACTGCAACTGTCAGAGCAAAGCAGGAAACACTACGCGACATCACTGAAGAATCATGCGTGGAAGAACATTGGAAGTCTCTGAAGGCGATTCTCAACGAAACGTGTTCAACGGTTCTAGGAAGAAAGAAGAGACAAGACAAGGAATGGCTCTCAACGGACACTTGGAAATTAATAGAAGAGAGGAGAATGGTGAAAGAGAAAATGATTCAATGCAAGGACGGACAGGAGAAGGAGACGATGAGCTCAACTTACAAAGCATTGGACAAAGAAGTGAAGAAAAGTGCTAGGAAGGACAAAAGACGATTCTACGACAATCTAGCTACTGAAGCTGAAAAGGCAGCAGGCAAAAGGGACCTGAGGACACTATATCAGATAACCAAATCTCTATCCGGGAAGAGACCAACACAAGCGAAACCTATAAAAGACAGCCAAGGGAAGCCCATTACCAAGGAAGAAAAACAGATTAAACAATGGGCGGATCACTTCAAAGGACTCTTGAACCGACCACCACCTGCAACCCGTCCAGAAATACCAACAACAGCGCACACACAACTGCAAGTTGACACCAATCCTCCAACGAGAGCTGAAGTCTTGAATGCAATCAAACTTCTGAAAGCTGGAAAAACAGCCGGACCAGATGGAATACCCCCTGAAGCACTGAAAGCAGACCCAGAGACGACAGCAGACATGCTGACTCCATTATTGCAAAAGGTCTGGAAGGAGGGAAAGGTGCCTACTGACTGGAGGAAAGGTTACCTCGTGAAACTACCAAAGAAGGGCGACTTAGGCTCACTCTGCAAGAACTGGCGAGGAATCATGCTCCTATCGACGCCAAGTAAAATCCTGAGTCGCATCATCCTGGAGAGATTAAAGGACGCACTGGAGACAGAACTCCGACCAGAACAAGCTGGATTCAGGAAAGGCAAATCATGTACTGACCAAATTGCAACTCTACGCATCATCATCGAACAAAGCATGGAATGGCAATCAAACCTCTACCTCAACTTTATAGACTTTGAGAAGGCCTTCGACAGCGTTGATCGTGAAGTAATTTGGAAATTACTCGAGTACTATGGCGTACCCCAAATATTCATCAACCTTATTCAACAGCTGTACGACAACGGCACCTGCCAAGTGATCCACAACGGAAGACTCAGCGAGGCGTTTGGAGTAAACACAGGAGTCAGACAAGGGTGCTTACTATCACCAATGATATTCCTAATTGTGGTGGACTGGATTATGCGTCAGACAGTGGGAAACGAGAAGACAGGAATATCCTGGACCGACGTGAAGAACCTAGAAGACCTGGATTTCGCGGATGATTTATGTTTGATGTCACACACAATCGAAGACTTACAAGCGAAAACCGACAAACTGGTCGAAGAAGCAGCCGGCGAAGACAGGACTCCAGGTAAACATAGACAAGACGGAGGTTATGAAAATAACCAACAAACAACAACAACAACAACCAACGTCAATCAACATCAACGGGAGGGATTTGAAAGAGGTTACTTCATTCACTTATCTAGGGAGCATTGTCTCAACTACAGGAGGAACGGACGAGGATGTCAAATCGAGCGAGAATCGGGAAGGCGAGAAACACATTCATCAACCTGAAATCAATCTGGAAATCTTCGTCACTCAGCATCACCAACAAAATTCGGATTTTCAATACAAACGTAAAGTCAGTTCTTCTATACGGATCAGAAACTTGGCGGGTCACAAAGAATATTTCCAAAAGGCTGCAGACCTTTATTAACAACTGTCTTCGCTCTATACTGAAGATCAGATGGCCGGAAAGAATCACCAACAAGGAATTATGGGAACAAACAAAGCAAGAACCAATCGCCCAACAAATATGCAGGAGAAAGTGGAGATGGATCGGACACTCGCTGAGGAGACCGCTGGGTGACATCGCGCGCCAAGCCCTCGAGTGGAACCCGAAAGGGAAGCGGCGTGTGGGACGTCCAAGGGTGACATGGAGGAGATCGTGTGAAGAGGAGTTGAAAGAATATGGATTAACATGGATGCAGGCGAAAAGTATGGCAGAAGACAGAAGAAAATGGAGACGTGCAGTTGAAGCCCTATGTTCCACTAGGAACCCAAGGGAGCAATAATAATAATAATATGAGCACTAGCTATTGTTTGAAAATACTGTCAGAAGATCCCAGATCATGAGCATGAACTGTAATCTTATCTCTGTGGTCTTCCATTTATCTATTTTAGGTTAACTCTCAAATATAAAGGTTACTATATCTAAAAGCTGAAGTAACTAAATTAAGTCTTACTTGATTAGTTAAACCTCAAAACTCCTTAATTTATTACGAAAACTTTGTTGTGTATATTCTTTTTATTATTGTATTTCCTCTTTAATCAGAATGTATGGATTTTCTCTCTTCTTGTTGCCTTGGAGCCACCATTACATCCAGATCTCTATCATGCTCTTCGAACTATTGTGAAAAAATGTCGTAAATTAAGACAGGTAAGAATCAATTATACTTTCTTCATCCAACTGTGTTCTCTACTTCTACAGAATTTCGAAAATTCACTATCGTCTACTTTTATAAACGACAGTGCAGAAAAACTAAATATTTCCGAAGATATCAAATTTTTTAATCTATATATCAATCTTGTATGCCATGTATTTGGGCAATCCGATTTAGTTGATGAGATAATTGATTGAATGATTTTATTTTGTCAATTGTATATTCTGTGAAATCTTTTTTTTGCATAAAGTGCACAAATATATTGTCTCCAAAAAGTCAACTTTCAATTGTTTTATATGTGCATATAGTACAGGTGGGATGACGATGGTAGTATAAGAAAACAAAAAATTATGTAACATCGCCAAGAATTTGGTTTGTTTCAAGTTTGCCCACGGAGTGATATGAGTCAAAGAACCAGGGAGTACTGAACGGCTGCTTCGTCCTAATTTGGGACTCATTGGAAATACACATCCGCGGGAGTTCGAACCCAGGACCGTTCAGTCACAAGGAGACCTCCCAGACACTGGGATCCAGCTCATTGTCCAGCCCATGAATTCTAACATTTACCAGCTCGGGGTTTTGTCGCGACTGGCACCAGCCAATGTCATCGGCAAGTATTTGTCCTTACTCCCGCCCAGGTCTCGGGTTCGAATCCTGGTGAGTGTGTACTACCGATTATGTAAAATTGTGAACTTCTACGTATTTCTATTCTTGATCTTCTCAAGATTTAGTTTTGCTTGGGATATGTCAACAAAAATGATGTGCGCTGTAACGTTGCCCTCATGTAATCTGGAAGTAAACTTAGTGCAGTACTTCAAATTCAGGATGATATAATATCACTTATATATTATGTATAATTATACAATTCAGTATACAAAAATAATAAATGTGTAAGTGAAGTGTTCAGTGTCAATTTTGAAACTGAAGAATTCATTTAAAAAAATCAAAATTCATACTTCGGGCAATATGGGCACCATACAGTTGTATAAAAGCTGAGAAGCGTGCTGGTCAAGTAAATTCGAAGGGGTGTTTACTGCCTTTAAAAAGATAGGAGGGAATCGTGGCGTATATCTAATCGATTTTGACTCTAAGCCATATCTGATAGCGTTTCGAGCAGTTAAGTTGTTTGGTCTCTCACATCCTACATCCATAATTATGAGGCATCGGAAAGGCTAACATAACTATCTATCCTTCATCCCATGGTATTACGTCATGGACTGACTACCATCTGCTTTTTCTACCCACTCGTAAGGTTTCCAAACGGTATGGAAGCCACTGGGATGATACTCGTAGCATATCCAAGCCACCCAAATTGGTGTCTCAAGATGTTATAATTTGTTGGAAAAAGACTTCCACTATGTCCGAATACATGCAGTTGGACCTCAGAATGACTTGCACAATGAAGCCATTGGGCGAAAAATTTCGGTGTGACTGTGCTCAAATACTGTGAATTTCTGCACATCCTGAGGATGGAGACACCAGGTTTCATATCCATACTGAGAGACTGTGGCTCACTGAACCCGCCTAGACCGAACAGCCGTAGTAGCAGCCCCACTGGTTTCTTAGGCTGACTTATGTTGTAATAACATAAGACAAGGGTCAGGCAACAGATCGTTTATTAAGGAAATCAACACATTTTTATATATTTTATGTACATTATTACATATTATTTAAGCAAACAAACACAGTCGTCTGATTGGTTGTTTCTCACAGAAAGTTAATCTTTCATCTCTTTGTGACTTTCTTGAATATCAGATCACCTATCTGCTAATTGTATCCACCTACGCAAAGCTTGCTGTCAGTCTTCGTTCTTGTTTTCACATGACTAATATTTGGGACATAAACATTGACGTAAATTACTGTCTAACAATTTGGCTAGCAGCCAGCTCTCACCACAATGTTACCCTGGCTTTCACTATATAATTAGAAATGTCATTTGGCAATACGCAAAACTATCTAGATATGTCAACGTCTCGACTACTTATAACAGTTCACCTGTGGGATTGAGTTCAGGTATGTATCGCTGCCAATTTGGGAACAGTACTTTGCTCACGCTATACTTGAAGGTGCTATTCACCACATTATCACTTGCGACTTGGGTAGTCTGTATGTTACTGATAGGAAGATAATACCGTCTGCATACTCGGGGTCGAAAGGTTTTCTTCCAGGCAACAGGTCCACACTACTTACATCTTTCAGAATTTCATCAAAGCAACTTTAAAGAGAAGTGAGCTTGGCAACCCTGTGTAACACCAGTATTGGTTGAGATGCTTCTTGTATAGGACTTTCATGGTGTTAAACTTCTGTGAGATATATCCCTCTAATAGACAGTCCTAAAGAACAGTTCAACGAATCAAGCGTAACTCTAATATGGGGGGGGGGAATAACAACTATTGGCATGTGATACTTGTGGCAACATTCTCACAACTGATGGTTGGCGAGTACGTGATCGATGCGTCCACAACTCTGACCAGATCCGACGCCCCTTTCATGGATCAATTTTAATGATTATAAAGCTGGCGGAACTCGACAACAGCCAGTATTTTAGATACAACCATTAACAGACTAATACCCCTTTATGATCATCGCATATATCATATTGGCCGTTTTTAAAGATAGGCACCGTGTTCACTTCAATTTTCAAAATAGTGGGATACTCAATTTTTCATACTGAAACATGAAGTAAGAATGGACAAGTAGTTTACTTGCTTTGTCTGAGGAAGATTCGTCATGGAATGCCAAGCTATAAGAAATCTCTCACACTAACTCTAAGCATGTCTCCATTTCCTTTGTCAAAATTGTAAATAACAATACACGTTTCTTAATTGACACTATAGCTGAATAATCTGTTAGGATGTACTTCAAATACTTCAGCATAGAGTAATATGTAGTGTTATGAGTCACTATGGCTGAAGGTTTAATGTATAATACTGTACCAACTTGTTATGTTAATATCATCATTGTTACTACTGTGTTTTTTTTATAATTTATTTATATCTTCATGATTATCTTTAAATAATACCATAAGAGTTATTTGAAGTGATTTCTATGAAATTTAAAAGAAACTGTATTTCACATTTATCATAAAAGCCTTACTTATCTAACTGAAGTTCAAATCTGTCTCCTTATCCAAGCCACAAAATGTGACCTTGAAAACTTCTGTAGTTTAGTGTTATTTCAATCCAATTGGTGTATTAAAAATAAGCTTTGCCTATCTAGTAATGTAAACAAAGCGATAACACGACAAGACATCGGCAAAATAAAATGGATTCCCTTTGTCCTGCTTCAAACGTGTTGTTGCTTTTAAGAATTTTATGTCATAGAAATTAGTATATGAAATATCTGGTAATGTATCAAAAAACTGAAACGAGAGGTAAACCCCAATGTAGCCGATTAATGTCGATAACAATTTTCTGTTTGTGATAATATCGTAGTGGTAAATAATCCCCCAAAATTATTAGTCTACAGTATTCATCGCTCAACACTGGATTCTCAGCTTCGCCGTTTAAGTTGACTCGTTAAGCTGAAGGCTCTTGGTAAAGTATCCAAGCCATTCGGCACGTCGTTCTGTTACTTTCGTTCGTGCATGCTCCCCAGCTAGTTAAGCACTCAGCATCACACCACGATTTTGATCCTGAAATATATCTCGTATTTTGGACAGTCAATTTGGCTTGCTTTTGGTCTACACAGAACAAAGAGGTTGCGGGTAGAATAATTTGCGTTAGTATACGTCATACTTTTGTAAACGTCAACGCCTCTCATCCTCTAAAACCTTATTCCCAATTATTCGTACATAAAAGACGTCAGTCTACAGACATCGTCCACATGACAACGTTTTAAAATGTGGTGCAGATATATTCACAGCTATTAGTGGTCGCTGAATTCTATAAGACAGTGACAGAAGTAAGACGCAGGTGATGAGAACAATGCTGATGAAGATGCTTTAAAAACGTCTGTCTGGATTCAACATAGAACTTGGCACCAAAGTGTAGCAGTTCGAGTTGCCACGTCCCAAATAGCACACAAAGGTAGACAAGAAGATGAGTGAAGAGAATTAATAGAGTTTCACAAGTATAAGAGTGAAACAGAATGGGTAAGGGTAGAAAGGAATATGAAAGATTACAGAGACTGAATACATCTGCGCTGGCCATTGACAACGATTTTGAGCCATGTCACCTATTGTCTCTAGCCATTGATTCCTAGAGTCCCGAGGGCCCCAACCCGGGAGTCTGCATCTCCCTACCTGACTCAGTTTAACTGTCAAGGATTTCATGGATTGATGAGGCCACGTTTTTGTTTGGCCACCACTTACTCTTTTCCAACCTGCACCCATATCAGCTAGTAATGCCCGTCAGGCGGGGGAGGCGATGGTTAGACATGCGCAGCACGTGACCTAGCCATCTCAATCTATATAACTTTATGGCCTCGTCGATTGATTTTCCCTCTTTGCCCAACACTCTACGCCTAACGTCAACATTACTTACCTTACAAAACCACCTAACGGGAGAAAGAGATCGTAGACATCTATGATCAAAAACAGTCAACCTTTTCATGTCTTCAACTCGTATTGGCCATGTTTCAGAGCCATAGAGAAGGACGGAGCGAACTGCTGAGCAGTGCACACGTCCCTTGGTTGATAGCCGGATGTCACGCCTACGCCAGAGATGGTGTAAGTCAGCGAAAGCAGCTCGAGCTTTTTGGATCCGTGCTGAGATTTCGTTGCCAATCAGTCCGTTGGTGCTAATGCAACTTCCTAAATAGTTGAAGTGGTCAACATATCCTATCACTTCACTCCCTATCACTAAGCTAGGAGTTGACGTAGTCCAGTCCTCTAGCAGCATCTTACATTTTGCAGGGGCGAATCGCATGCCAAACATACGAAGATTGCTGCTCAAGGTTTTCAGAAGACTGCATTTTGTCAGCATCCTCCCCTAACAGGACTATGTCATCTGCATATTCTAAGTCCATAAGACTATTCCCTGGTAACAAGTCGATTCCTAAGTCGTTAAGTTCAGCTAAGGATACTTCCATTAGTATATCTATGGTGAAGTTAAGCAGAAATGGGGAGAGTGGACATCCCTGTCGGACACCACTGGTTGTTATCAATTCACATGACAATTCCCCATAAGCCCTTACACGGCTGCGTGAGTTCGAATAGAGTGCCTTGATTAGTGCAATGTACTTTCTTGGCACTCCCTTCACAGTCAAACATTTCCATAGTACCTTACGATCCACGGAGTTGAAGGCCGCCTTCAAGTCAAGAAATATGGCAATTTGCAATTAATAGTGTTCTCTGAGCTGGTTGGTTTAGTTGCGGAGCTTTCGTCGTCTTTCTGGACGACATCTTCAGCACAGTATTTAGGATAAAGTGAAATGATTTAAATTTCTTCATGAGTGATATAATTGCGTCTCCCGGTAACCATCTTTAGATATGTTCATCCTACCATACATCAGAAATATCTCTTAAATAACGGCTAGAATAATGAAACCATTTGATATAGATGTAGCACACAAACCAGTCGAATCGCTTAATTCGATCTTATGCAAACCAAAAGGTCCAACAAAATAAGGGGATAAAATTAACACCATTTACAAAATAAATTGTATGAACTGTAACAAGCATTACATCGGCCAAAGTGGGCGTCCCCTTCGAATAAGAATCCAAGAACACAAATCAGCCGCGAAAAGACACGATATAAATTCTTTAGTATCAATGTATATAGACAATTATGGACATAAATTTGATTGGGATAATGTCAAAATCTTACACAGAGGAAACACCAAAAGTACCAGGGAATTCCTAGAAGCCTGGTACTCAAACGAAAATGCAATTAATAAACACGTTAATATAGACGAAATATACCAACTAATAAAAAGTAAATCATGTGACCAGAAAGTTTAAAATCCAAATCAATAGAAAAAATAGAAAATAACTCTTCATGGTCCTTGTAGCCCATGTTCAATCAATAGAAATGACTTAACCTAGTTTATGTAATCTAAGGCAATAAGTGGAAAATAACTTTCAGAAATAGCCACTAAAAATGCAGTCTCGTGGAAACAGGAATACTTTTCATTAGAGAAAGAGATTTAGAATATGTACAATGTACTTTTCTTAAACTTAGAAGTTCACAAAAGAAAATAAAGATGAATTATCTACAAAATTATTGTAGAACACGTTGAAAGATCTAAGGCCGCGGAATTAAAGGAAATAGGATAAATGACATTTGCATACAGAGTTCAGGATATTCCTTCTGTATATTAAGAGTTTCGGCTGTATAAATAAGATGTGACTGAATAGCGTTGCAATGACTTGACTGTACCTTATATGTCACTCCGAAAGGCTTACCTACTAACCCAGAATAATGTGTAAGGTAATCAAGAAATTAGCTGTTAATTGACCTGACTTCCCCTCTTGACAGCCATATTGAAAAATGTTATTTTGCATGCCTAGACAATTTCCTCTAAAGTTCAAATCAGTCATAAATCTATCAATTCTGCGTCACCAGCTTAGAAACAGACGTTACCTACTTTTAATCACAGTCAAAACAATAGTCAGTAATATTTCCTATGGTTCGATGTAGAATCTTCCCTTATCACTTAAGCAGGTGCGAAAACTAAGTTCCCTGGCTGCTTTTAACTCGCGGTTGGCGAATTTTCTAAGCTAGACGGAAATGATTATTAATTATAATAATATTTCAATAGTTTACACAACGGTGAGTTTTTTTTGTTTTTGTAATGTTCCAATCAAAATTAATATCAGTGATCACACCAACTGCTGGAATTATTTTTACGAAAACAAGAAATTTTATTATGTGTAAACTATTGAAAATTCAGTTTGGACTTTCCCGTTGACTGACTGGACCGAAGTGGTCGGTCTCTGTTGAAATGTCGACTCTTGACGATTTAACTTTAAGTAATTAGGTGTATGGTGACTAGCAACTGTAATATCAAGGACGGAATCCTCATCCTAGATTCCACTGCTAGTCACCATCCACCAAATTACTATTGGGATGTTACTATAATAAATTTGATCTATTCCACAATGCATAGGCTTTTTACTGGGAATGATTATTTTTGGCATTAATTTTCGTAGCTGGAACACTCAGCTATCCCGAATAGTAAATATAACCTGATAACGATAATTTTTGAACACTGGTTGACTGTTATAATTCAGTTTTTAAAGCTTAGCAGGCTAGTTGGTTGCATACGATCTCCCCTTCATATATTGTATTTCAGCGAGTATTTTTCCATTAATGAAGAATGAGATTATAGAAAAAGAAAAGGAAAAACAAATTTTTTTGATTTATTTTATTCACAAAACAAAAATTATATGTCTACCTCAACATATTTAGGAATCTAGAAAAATCCAGAGACATTAATTCAAGGTCACTTAACTGACCAATCTCTGGCAAGCAGTATTGACTAATAAGAAAGCTGGAATAAACATGTCTGTTACATATTTAAAATAAAGTTTATCGAACTGACAAAACATTACCATACAATGAGTGAAGTTAATGAAACACCTAGAGTGGTTTTAATGCCGATAGATGGCAGTGAACATGCTCAAAGAGCATTCCAGTGGTACATAGAAAATATGAAGCGTCCAAATGATATTGTAAAGTTCATCAATATTGTTGAGCCAGTTTATGCGACACCTGCTGTTGGACTAACGATGGAAACACCACCCTTAACAGATATTACCAAAATGATGCAAGACAGTATTGATAACGGAAAAGTATTAGGAAAGAAATATATAACTGAAGCAAAGCAGTGTGGTGTGAACTGTCAAGCTTTTCTTCATGTGGATACTCGACCTGGTGCTGCTTTACTGAAATCTATCGAAGATCATAACGCCAACGTGATTATCATGGGGAACAGGGGTCTTGGTGCAATCCGACGTACTTTTCTTGGGAGTGTTTCTGAATATGTATTACATCATGCTCATATTCCCGTTATAATCGTTCCACCGAAAGAAAAGCATTAATGATGAAATCTTTCTTCTCTTGAAGATTTATCTTATGATATTTATTCATGTAAGATTTACTGTCATTTACTACTGAAATTTTCTCATTAAGGAATTAACTAATTAAACTTTTTATACAATGATTTCAAAATAACTGTTGTTCTATGATTTTATATATTTTTCGTCAACAATTAAACGTGAGATGTAAACGTACTTGGTGTAGTAGAGTCCTAATCAACAGTCTGTAGGTTAATAACAGAAAACTGAATGAACGAAACTCAGTCACTAGCCATTTTTAAAGTGTTATTTCCTTTCACTTTAAAGGATGAAATGAATGAGAATTTAGTTAGTTACCTATGCGAATGGAGCGGGCTTGATTCCCCGTCAGACACCCCTGAAACCTCTCCTAGTTTACTAACCAGTAGTAAGCACGAAAAGAGAGGGAGGGTTGGGCGTGAGGCTACTAACATCTCCACGCCGTAAAAGAAACGCCACCGTTACTAAAACTTCAAGGCCTGAATCACAATATTCTAGTCGTAGCTCGGGGAATAATAACCGTCAATATGAATGACGGTTTATCAACAAAGTTTTCACGATTCACAACAAGTATGATGGAATGAAAACGAGTCTTCTTTAGAAATTAACTGACTTGGACTTTACATCCCTCTGACAGAAATCTTCTTATATTTGGTTTTGTAAAGTAGCAGTTCCAAATATTTCATTCAAATTACTCGAAACTCTTACTAGAAGTTAGAGTTAAATTGTTTACATCTTTGATTTAAACCTCAAACTGGGTTTTTGTACCAAACTCTTTTGTAGTTGTCAGAACACAATATAACTTCGGGTAAACTTTAGGCAAAGATGTTTTAGCATAGTTAGGTAGGTATTTTCTAGGCTTTCCTGGAAAACGTGAATACAAATCTGCTACTTTCCAGACCATCGTAAGCGCAGTTATGCATCTTCTAAACACTTAATAATACTGCTTAATAATATTTATTCTACCCGCTTCTGTAGTTAATACTGACAAGGAATTTAAACCTAAGATTTGGTTTAATTGTCCCCGTGTTCACTTTTAGTGCTAGCCTAATTGATTACAGACTTCTTACTGGTTTGTAGAATTCACCTGTGTAGTAAAAAGTTAACTTCAGTAAGTCGAATTTCTGGAAATATATCTGCATCATTGTATACAAATTCATTATTTGATTAAAGATGCATTTAAAAATTTTTCCAAAGACTGGTTAGTGAACAAAGAATATTCTTTTCGATAACTTCCTCATCTGTCTCTATATTTATATGTAACATTTAAAGAGTAATTGTATTTTTGATAACGTTGATGTTTTTTAAATTATATCGACTTGTTAAGATCAATAGAACGACAGTTCAAAAGCACGTGTAAGTGATAATATGCACAAAAATACAATAATAAGTTGAATATCACATAAAACTAAGATTAGAAATTTATGCGATATTTAAAGATAGTCAAAACCATAATGCAGTTTTTTGTTCAGCGAAGAAATTTCTTTTCAACGACTTCATTTTCAAGCTGTACAGTCGTATTTATATTACAGAAAAAGGTTATTAAGTGGCACTAGATGATTGCTCAGTCAATATACATATATATATATATATATATATATATATATATATATATATATATATATATGGTAAGAATAACGGTAATTAAAATTTTATAAGGGGTAGAGTTGAAGTGGATAAATTACAGAATTATTAAAGATTGTTTCATAAGTGGGATGATATAAAAATGGTTTAAAAATGTCAAGTGTTGTCTAAAAATTTAAAAAAAAATTAGGAATACGATTATGATATGAATGAAGATGTGAAGTGAAGTGGGAAGAATTCAAGTGGTAAAATAAAATAAAAACTAGAAAGAACATTACTGTGACCAAGGTAAAGAAAGGGGTTTGACAATACGTTTTTGAACACATAATTTAGGTTTCTGTATAGCTAAAGCTTCGGCTATGCATAAGTGAAGAAAATGTAAACTTTTGGATCGACTCGATTTCGCCAAGTAGATAACTTTGAAAGATGAATCACGTGGAGCTAAATGACCAGACTCTAACAGGTGATCACAAATAGATGATTTCGCAGTTCTTCGTTCGCCTTTCATTAACCAAACCGGATAGTGTTCAGCTACACGTTTTCGAAGATTACGCTTACAACGTCCAATATAATCAGCTCCACAAGAGCAGGTAAATGAGTAAATGCACATAATGACTTGCAACATGCTTAGAAGGAAGGGGAAGTTGTCAAATTTTTTACAATCAAGCAATGATGACCAAGATGGGAAAGGTATCTGAAAGAAATTCTTTCGAAAGCACAAGTTAGGCTATTTCAGGTGGATTCCGATGGCTTTAGCTATACATATAAGACGAAATTAAGATTAGTCGGAATACAATAGATAACTCTAAGTACCTTGTTAACATCGACTTTATGTTCAGTATCTACAAGGTGCGTTAAACAGAACTACGAACAGACCTTGTCTGTGCCTTGACTAACCACTCAGGATGATGTTCGGAAGTTCGATGATAAACGTGCCTAACTGTACGCCCAATCTGATTAGCTCTTCAGAAGCAGTCAAACTAGCAGATACATATTGATGAGGCGAAATCAGGTAGTTTAACCTTATTTTTTGAGCGTAAAGCCGGATTGGTTGTGAAGAGAGAAAGTGAACTAATGCAGCAGTGAGTACTGCTTTTACTCCATTCTCTAGGCGTTGTGTTATTTCACTGATGTTATTACCAAGAAACTACAGTTTTAATAACAAGGGCTTCTTCAGAGCTGTTGACATCTAGGTTGCCTTGACATCACATGCATATTTTTATCAATAAAATTTCCCAGATATAAATTTTCACCAAGTAATTCTGTAGTAATCTTGAGTTCATTCAGACATTCATTACATCAGATTACTCTAGGTCTGTGAACCGAGCACTTCACAAAATTGTGTTCAGATTTCAAAAGTGAGAAACTCAGTAAATGAGTATACTGATCAGTCCTTGAAGGTTTTCTGTATATACTCCTTTTATCATACCATCCTCTTTTGTTAGTCATAAAGACGTCCGGGGATGAAATACTATCATTTCTTTCTTTCTCGGTGGCAAAATTTACTGCAGGATGCACATCATTAAGTTTGTCAAGGGTGTACTGTGCTTCATTCTTATTTTTGTAATCAAAAACGTGTTAAGGAGCTGTAAAGGATACGGTTATCTTTCAAGTCATTTTGGGTGTTGACTGAATCGATAAACTTTCCTTTTAGGAAATACTCTTAAAGTCATTTCGTTCACAAGTATATGCTTCTTCTCAAGCACCTGTTGATGGGAGTGTAAATATCCTCATCAACGTTCTATGCAGTTGTAGCAGCAAGTAGAAGCTGCTAAACTACTACAGAGGTAATACGAAGACTGTAGAAAGTAATGACGACCCTCTAAGATGTCTCTCAATTGAAAACATATTTTAAAAATGAGGTGGTCTTAATACAAATGAAGACATATTATCACTAAAACTTTCCTACGTGATTTTTAGACCAGACATTTGTCTCTAACTTAGACTAAAGGTCAGACTGTTTGATTTCATTGGTTCATCTTAGCCAACCAGGTTGTAGTTTTTATATCTCAAATTATTGATTTACCCGTCATGTGAAATAAATATATGGTTAGGTTTAGCTTTCGGTCATGTTACTTTTTCCCTAGATCAATAAAATCTTTGCCTTCTTTTCTGTTTGACTGATTAGGCGTATATTGTTTTGTTTTAATTTAACAGTAAGAGCGAATCCACCTCCAGTGTTGTATTCATCCACAAAATCATATTACATTTTTTATTCAGAGATGACCAAAACATGAATAGCGTTCATCTTGCGCACCAAAATAAGAGATCATTGACTGATTTTTGGTTTATATTTATCTGATCAGCTTAATCCAAAGAAAATCTTTCAGTAGTATAGGTTTTACAGTGAAAAATGAAATTCGTTTCTCATGATGGAGATGATAGTTGCTTGACTCCCTCCTGACTATGCAAATGTTTCGGTAATAATTCGCATCATTTCATCAATTCTTACCAGTCTAGACACATGCTAACTAAGTAGTACAGGCTTTCGATAGAATCTTCACACTCTATGCGAACACCAAACAGTGATCCATTTTAGATCTCTGGTTGCTCGATGCTTATTTAGTCACTGACTATACCAGTCATCAGAGAAAACAAAAGGATAGTTGCTACGAATAAAATTTCTTTCATAAAAAGTCGTCTACGGATTATTCATTTGATTGTAGGCCATGTAGCTACAGGTCGTCAGTTCAACTTAGGATTCATCTATAAATTTTGTGATACTGGTGCTACAGTCAATGATGCAGATTCCAAAATTAGGTCATTACCACATATAGATTCACCTGCTTAAATCTATCTTACACATTCAGATGAAGTACCACAGTTTTAGATAAGTAGAACTTTCAATAAATATCTCCTTATATATGTCCAAACCAAGTTCGCTTTTAACGGTTTGAAAAAATTTGGGCATTGGGTATATGATATTCATTATAATAAAGGTTTTTCATTCATTGGGAAATACAAAAAACCTTTATTATAAATATCTCCTTACTAGTTACAATTGTTTAAGTCAGTTATATATTATTTCCTGCCACTTTAATGATAATAGTTCGTTTCTATATACTCCTACAAGTTAAAAGTCTTTCGGTTTTTGAAGTACTAATTAGTTATTACCTTAAGTAACATTAAAAGCTTCTGAAGAGGTCGATGAATCCTTCATTGGACTCGTCTAAATTTCCAAAAAATTTGTCCTTCCTAAATGTATTTTACTTGATACTAAAATGTTCTGCTCTTGGGTTTTGGATCACCTAGTCGATTGGGATCACACTGAAACATTATTAGTCACCTTCAGTCGTTACTAGGTAATGGATCTCACAGCTAACTTGGTAGATCCCGGACTAGTAAATCCCACCGTGACTAAGTTCTTCGTTTCACCTTCATTCATCACTGATTATATCAAAGGCCACCCCATACATTCTTATATATATATATATATATATATATATATATATATATATATATATATATATATATATATATATAATATGGTTTCACATGACGGGTAAATCAATAATTTGAGATATAAAAACTACAACCTGGTTGGCTAAGATGAACCAATGAAATCAAACAGTCTGACCTTTAGTCTAAGTTAGAGACAAATGTCTGGTCTAAAAATCACGTAGGAAAGTTTTAGTGATAATATA